CAAAACGAATTGCGCCATTTTTGCTAGTTGCGTCCGGTTTATCCGTTCAGATATGCGTCGGTGTTAGATTGGGAAACTATATTCATTTCGGCACCGATTTAGTAAGTTCATCTGTTATTTTCATTGTTATTAGTTTATTTTTATTGTTTATTTAAATAGTAAGTTTATTATTGTCTATTTTTTATGGTGTTACACTGATTTTTGTTTATATAACGCGTTGTAACACCATGTAGAGGCAATAATGAAATTGTACACGTAATTCATTGGGTGTACTATAAAACCAGAAATTCTATTATTTTTGTTACATTCACCGAGGAATGATGGAAATTTCATGGTGGGCACAAAGGTTTTAGTAAAAAAAAAATTAGGGCATTGATAAAATGTATGAATGAATGAATGAATGAATTAATGTATGTTCTAGACTAATTAATTTCGTTTCTAATGTCTCAATTTTTTCATTATTTTTCATTAAAGAACCCTTAATAGTTTTTTAATAGATCAAAAGAAAAGACAATTTATATTTTTTTAGTTTACTTAGTTATATTGATACTATTATATTAAATATAATCGTAAGATTTACTCTTTAATGAAATTATATCCAAATTTTTTAAAATCCATTAGGATTATGTATACAAAAGTATAAATAAAACAGTTAACCGCCATGTTAACCTTGGCATTAACAACTAATTAATAATGATGTTACCAACTTACTATTACACTTCATACTCGTACATTAAATCATTGAAGAATTTGTTCCAAAAAAAAACCAACTTCAATCGTGGCAAAACCAGTAATTTTTATTTAAAAACTCAACTACTGAACCGATTTAGATAAAATTTATTTGCAACACATCTGAAATTACATACTTTCAGATAAACAAAGTATTTTTTAAATTGGTTTATAAATGACAGACTTATGAGGCAATAAAATGAGCAAAATACAATCTAATTAAGAACCTCCTTCTTTTTTAAAGTTGGTTGAGAAAGGATATCCTGAAAAATAAAAATAGGGCTACTAACATGTTAGTAAGGCAACAGTGAATGGATAAAAGTATGAATAAATATTTATTTGCAAAAAATATGGCAAATATACAGATGTTAATAATATGGCCCACATATTTCGCCCCCAAAAGAGGGGTTTGCCAGTCGTTGCCACGCTTGGCAGACAGGTTGGCAACCGAAGGGAGGCTTTAAAATAATACATTTTAAAAGGGTACTTCTGCCCATCCCTTGATTATTAAGTTAGCTTAATCGCCTCTTGCGACACCCACAGGAAAGGAAGGAGACACCCCTTCCTTTCCAGGGGTAGCCATTCTATGCCGGGATTACACAGCAGACAAAAAAAGACATAAGTTAATCAACAAGAAACTGTTTTGTGAAGACATTGTGTACAAAACTATAAGTTATTAGGTAATTACCTAATATCCATATTATATAAAGAGATGCATATTACTAAATATATATTTATGAATATATTGTATAAAATTAATTTAATGACATCGAATATATATATATATATAAATACGTATGTATAAATACGATATTCTAGATTTAATAGATACAATATCTAATATATATATATTGTTAATATAGACATATATTTTTTTAATGTCTGATAATGGAATGATTACCCCGCCTACGCTATCGGTATACACTGACGAAGCACCAGTGAGGGATGATAGATGATGATGATGCAAGTTAATTATCCCATTGTGATGAATTGGACAATAAACGACCTCCACGCAGTTCCCCTTGGAAACCATCATGACTGATTTATTATTGAATTCGTCATGATAAGCCAATCGACCGGCTTTATCATCATTTGTCACCCCTCGCTCGTGCCCCGCCAGTGTATACATATAATGGAAATTCAAAAAGAGTTTATTAAGGTTTCTTCAGGGTCGGAAACGCGCACGTGACACCCCTAGTGTTGCAGGCGTCCATAGACTATTTACCATCAGACGGGCTACATGCTTGTTTGTTATTTTCGTGGAATAAAAACAAATTAAAAAATATTTTTCATTTCTTTTCTACGGAGTCCAAAATTTGTACTCAAAATTTCAAAATGAACTTTCTAGTCCATTTGAGGTATCATATGAAATGGTTTCATTTGCACGTTTTTATTTTTATGATAAAACTATTTTTTTTTTATTTTTATGATACGTAATTCTTGACGTGACTTGACTTGACTTGAAAATCCATCTTCAAATTTGAGGAGCGGAAAAGCTGAAAAGGTATATATATGAATATTACAGGAAACATAAAATATTCCCAACTAGAGACTTTTTAAGGAATTATCGAAAATCTCCAAAAACAAATTTAGTTAATCGGTCCAATTTCAACACCAAATGGTCTAAAATGAAAAATTACGTATTGCAGTATCAAAAATAACAAATATTAGGTATCTATTTCGTATATGGATTGCAATAAAGGTTATCTTATCTTATATCTACAATATGGTAATACGGAACCCTCGAAATGTGAATTCAACTCATACCTGACCAGTTTTTAATTACTGCGTAGCTTTTTGGAATATTTTTGTATAATAATTATATATATTGGCCGTTAACTGTCCACTGCTTAACATAAGCCTCCCACAGAAGGGGGGTTTTGCGAGTAGTTGTCACGATTGGCAAGCGAATTGACAACAGCGATTAAGCTTTGATGATGTTTAAAAGAGGAATGCTGCTGCCCGCCTCTCGACCATTAAGTTCCTTAGTCGCCTTTTACGACGCTCAGGGGGAAGAAAGGGGTAGTTAGTTCTATTCCGGGACCACACGGCTCTATATAAAATAGAAGTTAAAAATTAGGAAAAGTTAAAAATTTCATTAGGTTCTCGTTAACAAGTGCATAAACATGGAAATGTCTCACGCTTTGAATTCTAGTTAGGTCACAAGCATTACAATGGCGCGACCTTGCACGAACAAGTTAAAAGAGCGTTAAACGACAATTGTTGCAAATTGTTAACAGTTGAATGAACTTTACGTGTTACAAATATTACTAAATGTCTCTTGGTGTACTAGAAAACTTAGGTACAAGAACTTAAATTACCTATATATACTACATAAGCAAGTATATGGCCAACTAGACTTATTGGGTATAAGTGTAAAAAAGTGTTTCCAAATTTTGTCACAATGAGGAAGAATCGCCGCAGCACTTACTGTATGGCTGTAGCTCACTCATACATAAACGACATATCTCCTTTGGAAAACACGTTCTATATCTTGAGGAGCCAGAAAAAAATGTTAAAATACCTATCACCGATAGGAATTAGCAGCGAACTTTAAAGAAAGGCGAACACAAAAGATTTTTTTTATACAACTTAATGACAAACAAGCTGACGGCCCACCTGATGGAAAGTGGTAAGTGTCGCCTATAGACATGAGCAGTGCCATGGACATAACAGAGTATACTGTTTCGACCATGATACCCCCTATGCGTTGCCATTCCTGAGGACTCAGGTGTTATTCCTCTGTACCCAGTAATCATAGAAAGGTCGTGTTACATAGTTTTCTGTCTGAAAAAGTTTTCAATAATAATAAATATTTATTTGTACATACAAGTCAGTTAATTATGGCAGTTATTAGAGTAGTTCCAATCAATCAACCGTAACTAGAGATGGGCAATCCACCTGGGTGGGTTTAAAGTCTGGTGGGTAAAAACCGGGTGTTTTGGGTTTATTGGGTTTAAACCCCATAAACACCCAAATTTTTGGGTGTTTATGATTTTGTACTTCATCATCGTCATCTCAGCCGCAAGACGTCCACTATACTGGACATAGACAATATTATTATGCAGCCTACAGAATAAAAAACTTTTAATTTGATTTTGAGTTTATTAAGAAAGAGATGAAAGTAAAATGTAAAACTACAGTCAATCACTGTCAGATTCAGAGTTATTACAAGCGATGAATTGTATAGGTTCGATAGGCTCTATTTCGTCTAAACTGTTATGTTCATTTACTTGCTCAATGAAAGCTTCTAAGGTATTTTCTTCATTAAACTGAATGTCCTCGCATTCAGCTTTATGTTTAAGATTCCAGTTATAACAAATGAATGAAATTTTTTCAGTTCTTTCAGTTGTAAGTCGATTTCTTTTGTTATTATGTATGTAGCCTTGGATACTAAAGGAACGCTCAGTGGCTGCCGAAGTACAGGGAGCTGATAGAATACGAATCGCTACTTTGCTTAACTCAGTGGAACCACAAATACCTTTCCACCATATTAGGGGCTCAATGCTATCTAATGAGCTCCATACAAATCCTCTGGCCCAAAAGTTTTCTTTAGCTTTATAACACGCCAAATCTGCCATTACATTTGACAAACTTAAGTGTTGGCTTAAATTGTAGATAAACTCCATACCCTTAAGTTCTTCCTCTTGAGTAAGTTCGACTCCTAGAGTCCTGGGGTCTAGAATATATGCTGCAAAATGTATTGGCCTCATTGCCATATTGCATCTTGAAGATACTGATGTTAGAATCTGCTGTTTGCTTTCTTCGCTCAATGTCGAAATCTCATTTAATGCAAAACGTATCTTAGCTTGTACATCTCTAAATGTAATGTATGTGCGATGCAAACGATTCTGGTCGCTCTCTAAGTAAAATATGCTTTCAGTGACTGGTTCCAAAATACTTATACATTCCCCTGTCTTCGTCCAGAAATCATCACTTAGAATTAAATCTTTAATATCTCTTGAAATTACCACATCTTCTCTAACTGTTAATATTTGCAAAGCTATCTTATTTGCTTTCAAACTTTTTAACGAAGTAACATGACTTCCCCATCTTGTAGCACAAGGCAATTTTAGTGTTTGTGTAGAATCTTCACCCTGCCTTGATTTTATCAACAAGGAACTTAATCGTTGACTCCTTTTAACAGTTTTTATTATATTTATGGCTTGCATAATAAACACAGTTACTTCTTGTATCTTTACAATATCTTGGCACAACAAGTTAAGGATATGTGCACAGCAACCGAGAGGAACAACATGTGGATATTTGAGTTTTGTTAATTCGAATGCCTTTTGTATATTTCTAGCGTTATCGCCAATAATTTTTTTTTTTTTTTTTTTACAACACAGGGGGCAAACGAGCATGCGGCTCACCTGATGGTAAGTGACTACCGCCGCCCATGATCACCCACAACACCAGCGGCATTGCAGGTGTGCTGCCGGCCTTTTAAAAAGGAATATACTCTTTTCTTGAAGGTTATGTTGTCGTATCGGTTCGGAAATACTGCTGCTGGAAGTTGATTCCAAAGAATGGTTGTGCGTGGAAGAAAGTGCCTTGAAAAACGCACGGTGGAAGACCGCCACTCGTCCAGATGATTGGGATGAAACTTTAGTTTGTGGCGGGTTGTACGGTGGTGAAAATCAGCAGCAGGTATCAATCCGAACAATTCCTCAGAACACTCCCCATGATAAATTCGGTAGAAGATGCACAGAGATGCAACATCTCTGCGCAGTTTCAGTGGGTCGAGTCGGACAGTAAGGCGTTGACTATCGATAATTCGAGCCGCCCGACTTTGAATGCGGTCTAACGGAAGGAGTTGGTACTGTGGCGCTCCTGCCCACAGGTGAGAACAGTATTCCATATGCGGCCTGACTTGGGCTTTATATAATTTCAGGCGGTGTTCTGGCATGAAATATCGTCTCACCCTATTGAGTACTCCTAACTTTTTGGAAGCTATCTTAGCCTTCTCCTCCAGATGACCGCAAAACTGGACGTCGCAAGATATATCAACGCCCAGAATTCCTAGACTCGACTTTTTATCAAGGGAAGTGCCCTGAAAGTGAGGAGATACGACAAACGGCGTCTTTTTTGCGGTAAACGCGCAGACTTGTGTCTTTTTGGGGTTAAATTGGACAAGATTTTGTTCACCCCAGATCGAAACTTGATGGAGTGAAGTTTCGATTTCAGACACAAGTCTATTCCGGCACTCATCGGTATGTGCCCGCGAGATCTTTGCATGACCGGTATATAATGTATCTCCTGTACTGTCGTCTGCATAGCAATGAATATTACTTATCTGTAACATATCATTGATATGCAGAATAATAAGTACAAGAAACTTATTTGCTCCATACACTTTCATTACTTTTTCAACTTCTTGGCTAAGGTATTCACTAGTGTGAGGATTACTTTCTGTATTCAAACTTTTAACGTATGCAGGTTGAGGTTTTGATATAAGAAAGTTTACTATTCCTTCATTTCTTAAATTAGACCAGCCATCGCACTGAAGGTGTAAGTAACTACAAGCATTTAGTTCCTCATTTAACTCAAAACGCATTTCTCTATATATTTTATCTAAGTATTTTGTCGCTAAAGCTTTACGTGAAGGTATTTTAAATTTTGGTTGCAATTTTTCGAAAAATTGTATCCATAAAGGATGTTGCACCATCGATAATGGCGTCCCTGTTACAAATATAGCTCTCGCTAATTCTGTTTTTATATGATCATCGGTGTCTTGTAACTCAGCATTTATTGTAGTGTTAGCAGACGACGAGGGGCTTATAAAAGAATCATTTGTCTCTATCTCTGACAGTCCAGACATTTTGGTTTTGGACGAGCTATCTTTTATAAGTTTCATAGAGTCTTTTAATGTTTCTGGAGATTTTGGACAAGTGATAAGATGTTGAAGCATTTTGGCAGCATTACTGAATTTGTAGACCTTATTACAAAGCTTGCAAGAAACAGACTTGTTTGGTAAAGTACGGTAGTGCTCCCATATGCGTAAATCTTTAGGTCTCCCCATTGAACCTAAAAAAATGAACGATGATTAGTTGGTCTGACGAAAATTCAACAATAGAGTGCCTATTTTTTTACAATGATTATTTCTTGTTATTTACAATAAATTTATTAAAAAAATAATAAAATAAATACAAAAAACCTTTGTAAAATTACATCTCCTCGGAGGATTAAACGCAGACGCTAGTTTATTATCGTATTGTTCTGTATTTTTCTCAGCAACTTCTTTAATTCGATTAGGTACTTACGCATATTATGTTAAAAATAAATATCTAGTACACATCTTAGGCTATCCACCATTATTATCCAATGACGACTCTCAGCTAACTATGCACTATCATCCAAAATAAACGTGTATGGAAAATTTTATCCCAGTCGGTTGAGGATTGAGGATAATTGCATCAACATACGAACATACCTACATACTTTTATTTACATAACGCAAGCTAAATAAAAGCTTGTAATAATACATCTAATTTTAAGTTAAAATTGTTAAGTGATCATGATATAATTGTATCATTCAAAAATCCACTTACCTTTAATTATTTCTTGTTAAGTATAAATATTATTTCAAATCTGCTCCCTTAATATGCACTTTTTTACTGCTTTTCCTACCTAACACGTTACCAGGAAGTCACGTTACCAGAGTCAGAGTAATAGTGAACACGTTTGACAGTGATTGTCGTCGCCTCATATTCAGCGTCGACGAATAGGGGAATCCCCAGTCATAATGTATTGCATGCGTGGCGGTCTTACTTCAAATCCATAAACAAAGAGATAATTACAGAACTCGATACTAGATGGCGCTGTTTTTGTTTGAAGAAAGTTTGCGGGCTAAAATACATAGAATTTCATCAATGACTTCCACAAAGAACAACATTTCTGTTTTTTCTAAGTCCGTATCTCTTCCGTATATTTCATAAGATATAAGCTTGGGCTACATTGTTATGCAACGTGATTTTGTCGCTGTCTTGCTAGCAGGGTTGACAGATATACGATTTAAATCGTACTCATACTATTATTTGTCTATTTTTTAATGTACGATCGTAAAGATTATGATCGTAATTCGCACAAAAACATACGACTTTTTGGTTACCTGGCAACATTTTTATTATGAAACGAACATGCTCACATCATCAGTCACATGCAACAATTTATTGGGGTTTTCCCCTTCACATCTGGCAGTCCTGCTTGCTAGAATATAGGTAAGTCAGCCACAGTTACTGACGATCGATATTTAAAGGGTATTGTTTTTGTGCTAAATATTTCATAAAAACGTTATTTAATACTTTGTGGATTATTAATTTAGTTGATAATCACTGGAAGTAAAATGGATGCTAATTTGAGAGATCAAGATCTTCGTATAAAACAGTTAATAAAAGAAAATCTACGTAAGTACTCTTTTTATACCTAGGTAGGTAAGGTATAATAAACACAAAAGGTACTTAGATCGCGTGTGTTCGAAGCATTTATTCTAATAAATTTAATTTAAAATTGTAGAAAGAAAAAAATGTCTGCCAAGCCGTAGCCGAAGCCGATCTCCAAATATATTTGGCGATAGTGAGACCCAGTGTCCAGATGATTTACCCAGCGTCGTCGCAACAAAGAAAAAAACGAGGATAAAGTAAAAGAAAATTTACTGAAAGAAGAAACAAACTGTTCTAAATGCTTAATTTATGGAGAAGAGGATAAAAGAAATGAGTATTTCGGACTGTTAGTGGCTCAAGAATTTAAATATATACGGCCATGTGTGCGAACGAGGTGTTATGAAGAAATTTTAAAGTATCTACGGGAAGCAAAAGGCCAACATGTTGATCAACTGCAACATGAAAACACTGAAAATTAATTACTTTCATTTTATTATATATAGATTTTTAAAATTTCCTGAAATATTATTAGTTAACGTTTTATTTAATATTGTAGAATTGATCAATACAATTTATAAAAATAATTTATTGGTATTACTTACATATTTTCAAAAAAATACGTAAAAACCTATTTTTTTGGGTGATTATGGGAGTTTATGGGTGTTTATTGGGTTTTTACCAAAGCACCGGGTTTAAACCCGGTGCTTTGCCCATCTGTAACCGTAACCAATCACAAGTCATGAAGATGTATATTACAGTTAGTATGTTAACAAAGATTTAAAAGAGTAAGTGTTGAGTTTCTTGTGGGCTCTTCTCAGCAAATAACAACTTACCAAACACTGCAGTAGATTTAAAAAAAAAAATTAAAAGTTTTTCTTATAGTAGTAATGGACTTGCCATTTGAATAAAAACGATTTGAATTTTAATTAGAATACTCTGGCTTATTAGGACTCTCTTTTCCGCGCTTAGCCTCTCATTTGGGCCGTTGTGCGTATGAGTCGTGGTTAGTACAGCCAACCCAGTTCCGCCCAGAAACAAAGAAGCTTCCTGGGATCTTCACAAGGCTCACGGAGCGACTTCACTGTTCCGAGGATTTCTAAACGTTGATGGGCCACAGCTTCACATTTCAGGATTACGTAAACAGCCGTTTCTTCGGCATTGAAACAGCCTCGAAATAGAGGGCTGTCTGTGGCTCCTATTGTAGAAACTAGGCAAGCCAATTCAAAATCTAAACAAAATTGACCCAATCATGAATCAAACTTGAGACCTCAAATACACAAAGCAGCTTGTGCACTACTTCGTACAAAGGTCATCATATATGTATTGTTCTCGTATTAATTTTGTCACGATTGAAGAATTATTTGTGGAACCAAATCTAAATTACGTCTCTATTATGCTAGCAGACAAGGCTATCTGTTCGTTTGTTTGTTTAAAATCTTGTTTGTCCGGTGGATTGATTTACTTTGTCTATTTACGAAATATCTGCCCATCGATACCGAGTAATATTATAAATATTTGAACGTTTTACCAGTATTTGACCTTTGGGGACATGAATTATGCTTATATTAAAAATATATAATACCATCCTATAGTTATTTGCGTGACCGAATCCGAAATAAGGATATCCGCAAAAGAACCAAAGTGACCGACATGGCCCGAAGGATAAACAAGCCGAAGTGGATGTGAACTGGTCACATAGCTCAAAGAACTGACAACCGATGAGGAAGAAAGGTTCTTTAGTGGCGACCCTGTACTGGTAAACGCGGCGTAGGATGACTCCAATTAGATGAAGTGATGTTCTCATCTGAGAATGCATCTGCTTTGCAGGGAGTTAGTGGATGCAGGTGGCTCAGGACCATTCCTTACAGCAGTCTATGAGGGAGGCCTATGTCCAGCAGTGGACGGACAATATCCGAAATGATGATGTTGATAAATACAGCATATCTGTATATTATTGTATATTAATAAATGAATTTTAGAATAACAAAGCAGGAATGGCAACGCATGGGGGTATCATGGGCAAAACAGTATACTCTGTTATGTCCATGGTACTGCTTATGTCTATAAGCGACGGTTGCCACTTTCCATCAGGTGGGCCGTATATATATATATAAATTATGAGTTGTATATAGTTACTCGGTTTTTCACTGAAATTTTTGTTATTATTAATTCATTAATTTAGACTAATTATTATTATCATATTTGTATGTGACATTGTTAATATGTAAAACTGTTGCATGTTCATGATTTCGCATTTGTACAGACTAAAAATCCTTTATATATATATTGTTGTAGAATAAAATTGAATTGAATTGAATATTTTCGCAAACAGCAGGTTTTGGGTCGTTTCAACCGGTCGGGGGTTACTGTGACATCTTATTGATGATCATTTACGTAAACTTTGTCTATTACTTATATACCTACTTGACATACACGACGTACTTTCAATATATATTTCTTCATAATGCATATGATTAAAACTATATATTATTAAATGTTATATATGTATTCATATTGTTGCTTATGTATATACCGACTGCCATGTAAAGGTCATGCATCGTGGAAAGTTACATCTTTACATTTACATTCTACTTATCAGAGGGAAACTTTGTAGAAAAGTCGATTGCTTGGGTACCTCTGTTCCAGTCGTGTTTCAACCGTGAAGCAGTTGTGTTTGCATGGCTGTGTTTTGGTTTAAAGGATGGGATATGGCGTGAATTTACAGGGTACGGAGGAATAACACCTGAGTCCTCAGGAATGGCAACGCATGGGGGGTATCATGGGTGAAACAGTATACTCTGTTATGTCCATGGTACTGTTCATGTCTATAGGCGACGGTTACCACTTTCCATTAGGTGGGCCGTCAGCTTGTTTGCCATTCTAAGTTGTATAAAAAAAAACATTCTAGTTATATATTTCGTCAAATTTGCTTATATACTTACTAAAAGTAATGCCTTTTTTTAAATGGAATAATAACTCCACTCGCGCTGTCGATATATGCTACCAGTGACATCAAAGAATAATAAATAATATAGCATAATACCGTTGTGAATGGCGGCATAGAATGAACCGTCCTTTGCTTCCCTGTAGGTGTCGTAAGAGACTAAGGGAGCTTATGGTAGAGAGATAGGCAGCAGCGTTCCTATTAATACATGTGTAAAACTCTAACTGCGGTTGCCAACCCGCCTGCCAAGTGTTGCAACTACTGGCAAAACTCCCCTTATGTGGAAGGCTTCTGTTCAGCAGTGGACAGTTAACGGCTGAAATGAATAGCATAATACCATAGTCCGGGAGCATATGGATTATTAGTAATGGAAAGGCTAAGGCATTGCAACATGCCCTGTCCAGTCAACCTCCACGCAGTACTCCCTAGAAATTATTGTAGGTCTTTCTATCCTTTTTCCTCCTATTCCTTTTCAAGTTGTTTACACCTATTATAAATACAAAATCGTGACTTAACGCGATGTAAATCTATTATATCGCATTATGTCCCGATTATGTACTTAAAATAATTCCTAACGTATTCATCACATTGAATCGACTGACCTGGTGGTCTACCATGAAATGAAATTTCGAAATTTCAGGATCAATTTCGTGTTTTTGTTTGTACCGAAATTGACCCAGTAAATGGAGCTTAACATTTCGTTCATCATAAATCCTATCCTAATAGTCCAGAGGAACGATATTTTAACATTTTTAATAATTTTAAATGGCATATATTATGTAATTTTAACATCAAATTTCTGTTTCGTTTGTCCCCGAAATTTCGTAAAATATTTCATGGTAGGCACTCTGTTTTCAATTTCATCACTTCATACCTCACGGGTGTTCCGCCATTGTATACTGATAGCATAGACGAGTGCCATACCATAGCTCTCAGTTTCTACGATGTCCATGGTACTGTTCATGTCTATAGCCGACGGTTTCCATTTTATATCAGATGGGCCATCAGCTTGTTTGCCATTCTATGTATCATGAAAAAAAAATTCTCTAAATAAAGTGTAAAGAGTGGTACAGGAAAATGGGTATAAATATTTTCGAAAATATTTTCCATTAATAGAAACTTAGTGTTATTATGAAATATAACAAGTTGCAAACAAAACCACGTCGTAGCAAACTATGAATTTCACATAGGTGACTTAGATATAAAAAAAATACACAAAACAGAGCATATGTTGCTAACAACCCATCATCACTTTTCCCGCCAACGCTATATTACTTTTTTTTTATCAATCTGAACATAGTTGCGCTCAGGTGCGATGCAACAGCACTCTCTTGTGTGGTAAAACGACCTTCAAGCTGTGCGATGAAACCGATATCGGATTATCACCATTAAACTAGCCCAAACAGTGTAATAGGTTTTGTTCAATAAGTGTTTTTTTTTATTATTTTAAAAGTTTTACTATTACTACTATTTTTTACTACTAGTTCTACTATTTTTTTTAACTATTTCTCCATCATTTTACTTTACACAACATTTCAATCCATTGTTATTATCTATCAACACCCAATAAAGAAATTTACCCGTGCATTTGCAATATTATGCAGCTTGTATAATTCTCACGCAGAATAATTAACGCTAATAGTAAAGCAAGACTAACAATTAGTTAGCTATTAATACCAGGCCCACGTCACTTTGCACAAAAAAATTTTGCTAAATATTATATACTGTAAAGTAGTTAAGTCTTTTATACCAATCCGTTTCGATATTTTGAACATACCTAGATAATACTATTGTCTCTACTCGTATAGAAAGGTAGTTCTTCTAGATAGTTGCATAGGTTCATTTTCCAGTTTCATCAACATAACGGTAGTGTCGACTCTTAAAAATTAATAACGTAATAATTACTTACTCTGTGACTGTACTATCCTTAATCTATGCTACATTATTACAATTAAAATTACAATATATTGTATATATCAAATCAGCAATCATATAATTCTTTAAGATGTCTTTACATTGTTTTATATTCTTTATAATGTGTCGTTGACATTAGCAATAATATCATTTCGTTTATTAATCCTAGAGCTATGAATTTGTTAACAGGAAACTCTTTATTAGTTTATACTTTATATAAAACTGAATTGAAACTGAAAAACGGTTGGTTCAGTTATACATAAAAAAAATAATAATAATAAGGGAGTCAGTGGATGCAGGTGGTTCAAGACTATTCTTTAAG